AGTAGTCTCTTCAGCAAATGGTGCTGAATTGGACATAAGTACACAAGAGAAAAAGAGGACCAGGTGCAGTGGCTCACAGCTCTGTAATCCTAGTGCTTTGGAAGGCTGAGGCCACAGTATCTCTTGAGGCCAGGAGTTCAAGTCTAGCCTGAGTAACACAATGAGACCCTGTTTCTACAAAAAAAAAAAAAAAAATCAGGTGAGGGAGCATGTGCCTGTAGTCCCAGATACTTGGGAGGCTGAGGCAGTAAGATAATTTGAGCCCAGTAGTTTGAGGATGAAATGAACTAGGATCATGCCACTGCAGTCCAGACTGGGCAACAGAGCAACATCCTGTCTCAAAAAAATAAAAAAGAATCTGAACCTCTTCCTCACAAAATATGCAAAAATTAAGTCAAGTTAGATCATAAACCTAAACAAAGAAGCTATAATTATAAAGTTTAGAGAATGAAACACAGGAGAATATCTTCATGATCTTGAGATTAATAAATATTTCTATGTTTAGTACTAACTATAAAATAAAAGATAACAAATTTCGCCGGGCTCGGTGGCTCAGCCTGTAATCCCGCGCTTTGGGAGGCTGAGGTGAGTGGATTGCCTGAGCCCGCGGGTTCGAGACCCGCCTGGGCAGCGAGACCTCATCTCTACAATAAGTCAAAAAAAAATTAGCCAGGTGTAGTAGCGTGTGCCTGTAGTTCCAGCTCCTTGGAAGGCTGAGGCAGAAGGATCTCTGGAGCCCAGCAGGTCGAGGCTGAGGTGACTGGGAGCAGCCACTGCACTCCAGTCTGGGCGACAGAGACAGACTCCAACTCAAAAAAAAAAAAAACGATAACAAATTGGACTTAACCAAAAGTAGAAATTTCTGATCTTCGAAAGACATGTTTGGAAACTGCAAAGTCCAGTCACAGACTGGAAGACAATATTAACAGAACATATCTGGCAAAGGACTTTTATCCAAGACCAAAAAAAAACAAAAACCAAAAAAACTCCTGGAATTCCAGATAAAAAGACAACACAATGAAATAGAGGCAAAAGAACCTGAACAGATCTTTCACTAAAGAAAGTTATGTGAGTGGCCGATGAGCATGTGAAAAGATGCTCAGCATCATTGATGATTAGAGAAATGCAAGTGAAATCACAACAAGGTGCAACTTTGCACCCACTAGAATGACTCAGATGAAAGGCCAGGAAATACCAAAAGTTGGTAGGATGTAGAACAGAATGCCCAGATATTGCTGTGGAGTGTAGAATATAACCATTTTGGAAAACAGGCATATTCTTATAAAACCCAAATTCCATCCCTAGGCATTTACCTAAGAGGAATACAAGCACATTTTCACAAAAAGAGACTTGAACAAGAATGTTTAGCCAGGTGTGGTAGTTCACATTTATAATCCCAGTACTTTGGGAGGCCAAGGCAGGAGGATTGCTTGAGAGCAAGAGTTGGAGACCAGCCTTGGGAACACAGCAAGACTTCATCTCTACAAAAAAATAATTAGCTGGGCATGGTAGGTACGTGTCTATAGTCCCAGTTATTCAGGAGACTGAGGCAGGAGGATCACTTGAGCCCTGAAGTCAGAGGCTGCAGTGAGCCATGATCTCTAACCTGGGACAGAGTGAGACCCTGACTCAAAAAGAAAAAAGACTGTTTATAGAGGCTTTATTCATGAAACTCCAAAACTTGAGTCAATCTAAATGTTCACGAACAAGTGAATGGACAAATAAACTTATAATTATATAATGAAATACTGACAGAAATAAAAAGAAACAAAATATTAATCTACGCTACAACACAGACAAATCTCTGAAACACTATGCTGAGCAAAAGAAGCCAAAGAAAGAGTATTATATGTATCATTTCATTTATATATGACATTGTAGAACAAGCAAATCAAATCTATGGTGACATGTATCACAACAATTGCCCGGGGCCGGGGGTGGGCAGGAAGGGCTGACTGAAAATGTCCATGATAACTTTCTAGGGTGATGGAAATCTCTACCTGTGGTATTTAAACTCATTTGTCAAAACTCTTCGAACTGTACACTTTATTTATTTGTTGTTCTTTTAGAGTCAGGGTCTCATTCTGTCGCCCAGGCTGGAGTGTAGTGGCACAATCACAGCTCACCATAGCTTTGATCACCTGGGCTCAGGTGATCCTTCTGCCTCAGCCTCCTGAGTAGCTGGGACTACAAGTGCATGACACTATGTCTGGCTAATTAAAAAAAATTTTTTTTGTAGAGATGAGGTTTCACTATGTTGCCAAGGCTGGTCTCAAACTCCTGGCCTCAAGCAATCCTCCCACCTTAGCCTCCCAAAATGTTGGGATTACAAGCATGAGCCAGTGTGCCCAGTGAAGCAGTACACTTTAAAACTGTGCATTTTATTGTTTGCAAACAATAAGAAACAATAAAGTCACCATTAAAAGAATAAAAAGTCAAAGCACAAACCTGGAGAAGATACTTATAACACATACATCTGGCAAAAGATTGTCACCCAGAACAAATAATGTACAAGTGGATAAAAAATATAGCCAAATGGAATAATGCATAAAGCATATGAATAGATATTCTACAGAATCTATTTATTTCAAGGAAAAGTAAATGTCTGTATTCATATGAAGATGCTCAACACTCATTTGTAATCAGGAAAAAGCAAATTAAGCCCATATGAAACACCATTTCATATCCACAAGATTGGCAAACATTAAAAGGCTGGGCAATCAGCAAGTACTAGTGAGAATGTGGAGTGACGGGAATTATACCATGCTGATGAGAGTGTAATTTGGAATAATCACTTTTGCTTTGAATTTCTCTTCTACTCCTAGTTATATAATTTAGAGAAAGTCTTGCACTGTGACCAGGAAATATACACGGGAATGTTTATAACAAAACTATTGTACTAGCAAAGAAAGATACTACCTAAATGTCTACCTGTACCACATAACTTGTGGTATGATCACATAGTAGAATATACACAGAAATGAAAATGAACTGCAGTTACATGTACCCACTGAAAGAGTCCATTTATATGAAATTGTAAAAGTATGCTGTTTAGGGTTTCATATGCAGGAGAAGAACTGGAAAAGAAAGCAAAGAGATGATTAACACAAGAGTCAGAACCATGGTTATTCCTAGGGTGAATGGATTAGGGAAGAGCAAACAGGGACTTTCTAAGATGTTGACAATTTTCTATACTTAAGTTAGGTAGTGAGCTTATGAGTATTCATTTACTTTTTATTTTATTGTATTATTTTTATTTTTTGAGTTAGAGTCTCACTCTGTCACCCAGGTTGGAGTGCAGTGGCATGCTCATGGTCACCGCAGCCTCAATCTGCTGGGCTCAGGTGATCCTTCTGCCTCAGCCTTCCAAGTAGCTGGAACTACAGGTGAGCGCCACCATGCCCGGCTGATTTTTTTATTTATTGTAAAGACGAGGTCTTGCCAAGTTGCCCAGGTCTTGAACCCCTGGGCTTGAACCCCTGGGCTCAGGCAATCCTCTCGCCTCCACCTCCCAGAGTGCTGGGATTACATGTCTGGCTACTTCTTCTTTAAACTATACACATATTTTGTGTACTTTTTGTATATGTATTTCATAATATAAAAAATAAGTAGAACATTATGCTAATTGAAAGAAACCAGTCACTAAGGATCGTGTATACAATATGTCCAGAATAGGCAAAGCTATAGGCACAGAAAGTAGATCAGTGGTTACCAAGTCTGGGAAGTGGGAGAGAAATGGGAAGCAGGGCTGCTAATAGGCTTAGAGCTTCTTTCTGGGGTGAGGAAAATGTTCTAAAATTGATCGTAGTGATGGTTGCACAGTTCTGTGAAAAACTACTGAACTGTACACTTTAAAAGGTGAGTTCTATGGTATGTGAATTGCACCTCAATAAAGCTTTAATTAAAAAATAGGTAGAGGTCAGGGTCGGTGGCTCAGCCTGTAATCCCAGCACTTTGGGAGGCCGAAGCAAGAGGATTGCCTGAGACTGCGTGTTCGAGACCAGTCTGGGCAACTTGGCGAGACCTTGTCTCTACAATAAATAAAAAAATTAGCCGGGCATGGTATTGCGAGACTGTAGTTCCGGCTACTTGGAAGACTGAGGCAGAAGGATCGCCAGAGCTCAGCAGGTCAATGCTGGGGTGGCCGTGAGTGTGCCACTGCAATCCAGCCACGGTGACAGAGTGAGACTCTAACTCAAGAAAAAAAAAAAAAAAAAATAGGTAGAGAAGCAGGATGCACAGAAAGCCTCTTAATGGGTGAAGAGATGATGAAGCTGACAAAGAAGAAATGAGACAGTATTACTCTGCAGCAGGGGTTCTCCAACTTTGCACCCAAATCACCAGGAAGGCTTGGAAAAACACTGATTTTGAGGCCTCATTCTCAGATTATCTGATTCTGCAGGTCTAGAATCTGCAGATCTACAGAATTCTGTAGTCTGTGATTCTATTGCCTGTGTAGTCAAGAAATTGCATTCCTAACAAGTTCCCAGGCGATGCTGATGCAACTGGCCCAGGGCTGCAACCACTACTCTATAGCGCCTACCATAGGTGTCCAATAAATATACATTGGATGACTGAATGGATGGATGGTTGAATGGGTGGGTGGTTGTTGGGGTGAGTGGATGAGTGGGAGCTGAATGGCTGACTGGACAGATAAATGGATGGATAAAGGGTGGATGGATGGGTAGTGAATAGTAGTTGGATACAGGGATGAACTTTTGGGTGGAGGATGTATGTGGATGGGAGGTGGTTCAGAGTAGAAGATGGGACTGAGGAAGTTGTAGTGTGGAAAGAAGTGTAGAGGACTTGGGTTAGTTACCTACTAGCTATGAGGTTTGGCAAGTGACTTCACTTCCCTGAACCTCTTTTTTCTCATGTGTAAAATATGGGTAAATAATGCCTATGAATCTTCCATGAGTTAATATTCTTGGGAGAGCCTAGCACAAAGCCTGGCATGCAGTGGCTGCTCTCTCCACTCTTCGCCTGAATCTGACTATTACCATCATATATCACTGGGCTGTATTGTGTGCTTGAGACCAGAGGCTTGTAGTTCAGGTCCATTTTGTTTCCATAGTGGCCGATGCTGACCTCGAACTGGATCAGGTTTTTAAAGTTGGGCATCATAGTACAGGAGAGGAAGATGACACACAACCCATACTTCAGACGGTTCTGGTGCCTCTGGAAAACAAACCCCCACATCCCTAGTACATAAGCCAAGGGACGAACAAAGTTATATGGACGGGCAGAGAGACAAGGATGAGGTGCTCTGTTTCTTTCAAAAGTCATCTTTGCTTCTTTCAGGGTGAGCCAGACCATCACTGAAAAGTCCCTCTCAAAACCCTGAGAAGGCCAGGCGTAGTGGCTCAAGCCTGTAATCCTAGCAATTTGGGAGGCTGAGGCGAGAGGACTGCCTGAGCCCGGGGGTTTGAGAACAGCCTGGGCAACTTGGTGAGACCTCGTCTCTATAATATATCAAAAAATTAGCCAGGCATGGTAGCCCGTACCTGTAGTTCCAGCTACTTGGAAGGTTGAGGCGGAAGGATCACCTAAGCCCAGCAGGTTGATGCTGGAGTGGCTGTGAGTGTGCCACTGCACTCCAGCCTGGGACGGAGTGAGGCTCTGACTCAAAAACAAACAAACAAACAAACAAACAAATCCTGCAGAGGCTCCCTTTCCCTCGCACCTGGCTGATCAAGGGCAGTTCCTCCCAGGACTTCCACCACCTGGTGCCCTTCACCCAGTCAACCTTGGTTCCTTTCCTTCCTGAAATTGGGCAAGAGGGGTCTCCTCCCTGGTCAGGCTAGGACTATGAGTTGGACCACCCCATCCCTGCTCCAAGTTGCAGTGCTTCTCTCTTTTTGCCTAAACCCCTTCCTTCAGAAGAGACAGTGTGGGCAGGGGTGTAAAGCTGGACTCTCTCTTTCATACATCTGGTTCTTCTCAAGCTCTCCTCTTTCTCTGGGAAAGTCTGACTTTTCTACTTCTCCCAGCTGCCCACTGTCTCCCAGCTTCATCTGTTCCCACTGTGTGGTCAGACACTCTGTTCATCAGCCCCTCTCTTGTTTCTGTGGCCAACCTCAACCCCATTCTTGCTTTCCCCTAGTATGTTCACCAGCTCAGGCCTCCCCTATTTAAAAAACAACCCCCCTTCTCCCATCTGAGTCCCTATTTAGCTGCTGCCTGACTTCATCTCCTTCCACTCTTTTTAAACTTTTTTTTATTTTTACTTTTTAGAGGCAGAGTTTCACTATGTTGCCTAGACTGGTCTCAAACTCCTGGATTCAAGCAATTCTCCTGCCTCAGCTTCCTGAGCTTGACTTCTTTCCACTTTCCAGACAAGTTTCTTAGAAGCCTTGCCTCCATGCACTGTCCCCTACTTCTCCCTCCCGTCTATAGCAGTCCAGTTTCTCTCCTGATCCAAGGCTACTAGCATCTTCCTAATAGTCAGCAGACATCTCTGAGTCCTCATCCTTTCTCTCTACCACATTCAAGATTGCTGGTCACTTCTTTCTGCAACTCTTTTCCTTGGAATATCCCTCTGCAAACTCCTCCACCTGTTCCTGTACTATGGCAGGCTCCTGTTAGGCTCCTTCCTTTCACTGCACCTACTCTCCTTGGGCAGTTTCATCCACCGCCGCGGGTTCAAATCCTTGTACAATGATGACACCCCGTGACTAGCAGCCTCCAGAGTTGGTTTATGTGAATGTTTCACAGCACACGTCCGAGCTGGGATTCATCATCTCCCCCAGACCTGCTCCTCTTTTAGAGAGCCCATCTTGGTGCATGCCATCCCTGACCACCTTGTCACCCAAAGCAGGAAATGGGTTTCAGCTAGGGGAGTTGGCCTCACTTCTTAGGCCCTTGTTGGTCACTGGCTTTGATCGTTGTTTCCAGAGGGTCTCTGAAGTCTTCCCCCTCCTCTCCAACTTTCCTCCAGTTAGACAGTATCTCAGTTTCTCTTGTCTAAGTGACCTCAACTTACTCTGGTCTATTGCTAATACTGTTCTTCCTGCCCCTTCCTGCCTCAGTGACTTCAGGAAGAAATCCAAATCCCTTAGATTGTTTTGCAAACCCCAGAGAAACTGAGTCATGAATGAACATTTCTCCTTAACTATATTAGGCATTTGTTTCTTTCTTTTTTTTTTTTTTTTTGAGTTGGAGTCTCACTCTGTCACCCAGGCTGGAGTGCAGTGGCACGCTGATGGCCACCACGGCCTCGATCTGCTGGGCTCAGGTGATCCTTCTACATCAGCCTTCCAAGTAGCCAGAACTACAGGCACGCACTACCACGCCCAGCTAATTTTTTAATCTATTGAGATGAGGTCTGCCAAGTCGTCCAAGCTGTTCTCGAATCCGTGGGTTCAGGCAATCCCTTCACCTTGGCCTCCCAAAGTGCTGGGATTACAGGTTTGAGCCACTGCGCCTGGCCTAGGCATTTCATAAACTGAAACTTTACCTTGTCTTTATTGGGTCCTCTGTCCATCTGGGATTAGGCACAGTAGGGGCTGAGTAAGTACTCAAGCAGATTGATCAAGCATCCTTACACACCCAACAGTCTGTGGCTAGGACCTCTTGCAGGGTCAGAAACTAGGGCCTATATTAGATATGGGACAGGAAGAGGGGCTATTTTTCCGGTGCTACCTGTTTCTCGTGGTTACCTCCATCCTGGTCACTTCATGGGACAGAGCCATTATCCTAGAGCCCTGTTGGGACTTGATTTGGGTGATTAACTCCAGGAAGACTCGGCCTCGATAAGCTAAACCGTCCTTCACAGAGTCAGGAATACACTAAGGAGACAGAGAGAAAAGGGATGGGAGGGGTGGAGGGAAGGAGTCAAATTCGCCCGGAATCAAAAACAAGGACAAGGTTGTCAGGTCACCGCCTGCCTGAAGCTGGCTCCAACCACAATCCCAGGGAAAAATTCCATTTACTCCAGACACCACACCAGGAAACCTCTGGACGTCGGCCCTCTTCGCTCCACCACTCCTGCTCGTGCATTGTTCTTATCACCCCCTGGAAAAATCCCTCTCCCATAATGCTTTGGGCTGGGCAGGGCCTGTGATAACCACTGAGTTTGCGCTCCCAGCCTGGCCAATCAGGGTATGCTCCGCCTCCTTAGCCACAGTGATTGGTCCAAGGGGAGAGCACATGACCTAAGCAGGCCAATTAGAATACAATTCTTGGCGTTTCTTCCCTGAGTAGGTTTTGCAGGGTTTCCAGCCTGTAAGCCAGACTGGGGTAGGAGGAAATATGAGGCATGAAGGAGGAATGGAGCATGAAGAGCAGGAAGAGGCAGCAAGTCTCCTGATGGCATCAAAGGTTCGGTGCCTACAGCTCTGCCCCACTCAGCAGTCTTCCCAACCTCATTTCGTTTTTTCAGTTAAGCCAATTCGAGTCAGATGTCTGGTGTTTGTCATCAGTCTTGAAGAACCCCGTGTGTTTGCACATTTACCTGTGCCGTGTCCTTGGTCCTGCATGTCCTTTTCACCTGCTGAAAATCTTACCCGTGGTTTCATCTCAAAGTCCCTTCTTCAGGAAATGCCTAGAGCATTCCACCTGTTCCTTTCTCATGCCCAGCGCATGCCCCACGTACGCATTGCTATTCGTGTACAGGCTTCTTTACCACTGGTGAGCGGAAACCAGGGCCAAAGCCTCTTGAGCATTTCCCAGGCCCCAGAGCTTTATAATTGGCCAGTTTTATCTCTCTATTGACCCCTAGAGCTGACACGAGAAACTTACAGCGCCTTCTTCCGAAATCCTGAAAGGGGCCTTTTTACCACCGTGCAGAGTCAGGAAGCTGGGCCCGAAGCAGGGCAAGAAGCCAGAGTACACTCCTGGAAGGACAGAAGGTGAGAAGGGGGGTGAGGGGGACAGGGATGCAGGTAGGAGAGGCCCGGGAGGTGGGGCCCGGGGCTTTGCTTGCCTTCGATCTCTTCTCCAGTTGACGAGATTTGGTTGAGGGACAGGCTGGCGGTCCCGATCTCATCCCGGCAATCCCTCCTGGAGCTGGAGAGAAACTCTGCAGGATGAGCCCTTTGCCCAGCTCTTATGTTCTCCTTCCCTGCATGTGCTTCAGCCACCACCCAGTTGCTCACCAGTCCAAGACTCTGAACTTGATGTAGCTGGAGAGGCAAGGCAGCTGTGAAGGGAAGGAGAGAGGAGCAGTGGGTGTATATTCCGATGGTCTGGACCTCCTGGAGATTTTAAAAGCAGTTGGGGAGTACTGGGTCTCCAAGGCCTGGCTCAGTTACCAATGAACCATTTAACCAAAGACAAAGCTGGATTTACCACACAGCTTATGGAACTTTGGCTTTGGGGACTCCCATTTCCTTGCAAGTTCCTAGGAGGGGCCTGGGGCTTGTCACATGATCATTTTGTATTCGCCTTCTTAAAATGGCCCCCAAATTGCATAAGCTTTGGGGCCCTTAAAATCCCACTGTCCTGACAGCTGGGAAGCCAAGAGAAACTGTGGAAAAGGCTTTAGAAAAGCAATAAGAAAGAAGAAAATTGCTCAGGTTAAGGAAGGGCATTGGAAGGGGAGAGATGGGCACCATAAGGCATCCAGGTCTTTCAAAGTTATGAAGCCTCCAAATTCAGATTTATGGCTGAACCATCTTTTTATCCATCTTGCTAATAATTCTCCTCCCCTTTCCTAATTCCTTTTCTGGTGCACAGTCTCCCCTCCTGCCTGGGGCCCTTGGGTTGGCCACTGGCACAGACCCATTTTCAGCAGTGCCCTGGGCTCTGCTCCCTCATGAACACCTGGCCTTAGTCACTACCATCTGTGTGGTCATTCTGCCTCATCAGAGTAAGGTTCACATCTGACTATTGCATTCCCAAAGGGCTACTGGCAATCAGGCCTCCATCCAAATGACCCCACCCAGGAGACTGTGTTCTGGGGGAAATGTGTGAGGGTCCAGGGGGTGTTTGGACATCTTCAAATGTTAGAAGGCTTCTCTCAAAGATGAGAACTTGATAGATGATGAACAAAAAGAGGAATTCCTAAGGCTTTGAGAATCCACAGAGCATCTGAGGATCCTGGCCGAGCCCTCATCACAGCTAAGGATAGGTGGGAGAGAGTCTGGCAGGATGAGGCATGGACTAGGCCTCCTTTAAAATGTCTTCCTACTTTAAAAGCCTATAAAATCATCCCAGGAGGTGGGGATTATGAGGGATGGTTGAAAATGATGGCTTACCAGGAAGCAGATTGGAGAAGCTTCTAGAAGCAGTAAGGAGTGGAGTTCATGGGAGCTAATTTCATATTTCACAACATAAAGTATAAGAAAGCGAAATGCTCTCTGGGTAGCCAGATGGATGTACACAAACTTTGACACACTTGCACACAGGAGAGAGTGCAAGTTGTATCTCAGAACTGTTTGCTCTTATTTACATACAGCTCTTTAAAGGCTGACATACAGTCAAAAGGCCATTAAGGCTCCATTAGGACTTCAAGAGAACTCTCATTGACAAGAGCTGACAAGTGACTGAGAGGGACTGAAAAGCTATAAAAATCAGACTATAGGATCCCACAAAGAAGAGCGTCTTGGAGCCATTTAGTGTAGCACAAATCGCCCTGTACTACATATAGCACACTATAATAACTAATGCCTTTAAGCCATCAACAAAGAGCTATACTTATATTCAGGGCACTTGGCTTAGAAAATAAGAAAATATGTAATATGATTTAGAATGAGTTTTTAAAGTGATTTGCTTTTTAATGTGAGTGAAAGGACACACTTAAGTTCTTTGGAAAATTCAGTTATATGGCCCATCCATTGCTTAATACTGGGCAAAATTGAACCTATTATACAATCTAGTCATTTTGATTCTACATATTTTCCCAAGAGAAATGAAAGCATATGTTCATACTAAGATTTGGATAAATGTTTACAGCTTCATTTTAACAGCTCAAAACTGAAAACAATATAAATGCCCATCAAAAAAGGAAATAATAAACATGCAATGGACTATTACTCAGCAATAAAAAGGAGAGAACTGATACACATAACATTTTGGAAGAATCTCAGGATAATTATGCTGAGTGAAGGAAGCCAGACAAAAAAGAGTACACATTACATGGTTCCATTTATGTGAAACTCTAGGAAACACTAGGGAAATGCAAGCTAATCTATAGTAACAAAAGGCAGATCAGTGGTCACCTGAGGATGGAAAAGGGTGGGATAGGAATGAGAGGGAGGGATTGCCAAGTGACATGAGGCAACTTTTTGAGGTGATTGATGTGATGGATATATTATCTTGATTGTGATGATGTTTTCCTGAGTGTGTACATATTGTAAAATGTATCAGATTGTACATTTTAAATATTTGCAGTTCACTGTATGCCGATGATTCCTCCAACAAAGCTGTAAACAGTAGTTTACCATAATATGTCCTTGGCTGCCTCATACTCCCTATTATGCAGGGCTCCCCTCCCATGCTTCTTGGCTCCCACCTTTCATCCACACCTCCACCCATGCACCCAAACTTTTTTTCAGCTTGAGGGCAGTGAGGGAAGGGCAGGCGTGACAGAGCAGCCATACCTGAATCCGGAAGGTCAGGATCTGGTTCCATATGGGATTGTCGGTTTGGGTCTGCATGTGCGTCTTGAGCTAGGAATGGCCCAAAGCAGTGTCAGTACCCGCCTGCTCTCCCTCCTTCTTTCACTGGCCTCACCTTCCAGCCCTTCCCATCCAGGTCAGAGGTGATTGGGCTAATCTCTGGTCTAAAGACACTTGACAGTTTCTCAGTGGCTACTTCAGTCCTTCGTGTATTTATCTCAAAGTGTTTGCCAGATCCAGATTCCTAGTTATTTTTATTTAAATCAACTTTAAATGTAGATAAATTCTAAGATCACAAACATAGCTGATGATGGCAGTGAACCCTATTTAAAACCACCAGTTGGCTGGGCGAGGTGGCTCCCAGCACTTTGGGAGGTTGAGGCGGGAGAATCATGTGAGCCCAGGAGTTCAAGACCAGACTGGGCAATATGGTGAGACCTCATCTCTACAAAAAATGCAAAATTAGCCAGATGTGGTGGCATGAGCCTGTAGTCCCAGTTACTTGGGAGGCTGAGGGTGAGAGCCCAAGAGGTCAAGGATGTGGTAAGCAGTGATGGTGGCACTGTACTCCAGCCTGGGCAACAGAGCGAGACCCTGTCTAAAAAACAAACAAACAAACAAAAACGACACAAAATAATCAATTGACTTAATTTTTAAACCTAGCCTTATTCTAAGCAATGATATGTGTTGAAATAAAGTGTTAATTGATCTTGCTAAACTTTTTAAGGTACACTAAGATAAACACAGAAATGTGGCAATTTTGGGAAAATGTGTGTTGCCACCCAAGAACATCTCACCAAGCTCCAGGGTTACCCAGACTACTCACTAGGAAATAAATACTCAGTGTGGTGGTTTAAAACATATCCATAAATTCTTTGGTACCCCTCCCATCAAAAGGTGGACACATTACTTCCTTTCCCTACCAGTGGGCTGGATTTAATGACTTGTTTGTAGCAGGTAGAATATGGTAGAAATGAAGATTTGTGAATTATGAAACAAAGCCTTTAACCCTGTATTCCCCAAATTTGAACACAGGACCCTTTTTTTGCACATAACACCTGTCAACACACTGGAAAACGCTACTCTGTATTCATAGAGATTCATGGAATGTCAGTAACCCTCTGGCCCAGAACTGTCTATTTACAGGTGAAGAGACTGAGACCTAGAGGAGATGATGATAGTTCCAATGTCTGTTGGCATGTTGTTTCATTCTCTCATTCTTTACTTCCATGTATATTTGGTTTTTAGTGAGCATCCTCTCTGTGCAAGGCACTGGGCACAGCTCTGGCAGCAGAGGGGAGCCTGATATGGTCTCTACCTCCGGAGGTCCATGTTTGGGGGCTCACCCTGCTGTTAGTGGGTGACTAGGAAACAATTACTGGGGTCCTGCCCACCCACTCACTCCCTTCCCGCACACTACTTTTTCTAGGCGCCATTTTCTCTAGGGCTCAGATCCTTTCTACTCTTACCTTTTCTCCAATCAGTTCCACCTCCAACACAGGATTCACTAACTGGTCTCTCTCTACAAATAAGAGGTTAAAAGGCTTCTATTTTTTCAGGAGGAGGAAATGGAAGGTGACAGAACAACTTAAAACCCGGCCCCATAATTTTTTTTTTTTTTTTGAGTTGGAGTCTCACTCTGTCGCCCAGACTGGAGTGCTGT